GAGGAGAGGAGAGAGAGAGAGAGAGAGAGAGCGAGAGAGAGAGAGAGAAGAGAGAGAGAGAGAGGAGAGAGAGAGAGAGGAGATGAGAGAGAGAGATGAGAGAGAGAGAGAGAGAGAGAGAGAAAGAAGAAGAAAGAAAGACACACATACACACACACACACACACACACACACACACACACACACACACACACACACACACACACACACACATATTGACGGTTTGTTCTGGCGTGTGGAAGATTCGATCGGCATTGCAGGCGTTTAAAGAATTAAAACTCAGAGAAAGTAGCCACACCAAAACATCGATTCAAGTATTAACTTTCGAAGCATTCCAAACATTTTGAGGCACAATGGATGATGCCACGACAAAGAAAAATCTGTCAAAGGGATCTCACGCACGTTACGATGAAATTTTCCATCAGCGCATTTGTCAATCCGTGAAACTGAAATGCACAAAACCAAGATGATGCTCACCAACAAAGCTATTGTTTATTATTCGTAAGGCCTCATGCACCGTTGCTATGAAAACGTGAGCCATTTTGTATTTGCACCAGGTCAAGTGCAGAAAAAAATTCCTCACATTGCCGCCAGCTCGACTAGTCTCATACGTAACCATTGCCGCCAGCTTTGAGAGCTAAAAAGAAAAATACTGTTTCGTACAAATTTGGTATCATTGGAAAGGTTCATGTTGCACTCCAACTCCATAGCTTATTGCATTACTGAAGAGTATCTTTGGTTCCATTTTTTGTTATTCCACCGCGGCGCTTGGCACCCGTCGCCCTGTGTTAAATGGTCCTGAGCGCGTTGCCTGGTATTGAGTTGCCTTGATGAAAACTAAACTTCTTATATGCACTGTGCATGACTGCATATTTACAGAGTCCGTCCAGACGACGATCATGGAATGGACTGAAACATTGACAAATGGATGATTTTTTATATTATTCTGCATCGACATACCAAAAACAACGATAAACACCACCACACAAAGCCTCGAATAAACGACCAAGACGGTCATAAACGCCTAATAGGCTGTAATGCACAGGGAACAATATATAAATACTTGTATATATATATATATATATATATATATATATATATAACATCAAGAACAAAGGCAAAAGTAAGCACACTGCCAAGCAATATACATGGGAAGGCAGAAACTTATATGCCAAGTTGATACGACTATCGTGCTGTCTATGCTGCAATGATCTGCCCCCGTTTTCAGCAATATTTTGCGCATGGCTAACTAAAGAAGACGTAACAGGGGAGGATTCAGACGGTACCAAGTCGGCTTACGTGTAGTATATTTCGCATATATCTAGGACATGCACCGCAGGACGATCGTTGTGTGGGTGATGCGTGAAGGAAAAAAATCATCAACCCTGAAGAGATTTCGGTCGACCACCCACCGACCCGGTTCGGTAGACGTTCTGTGGTTTTGTTGCGCTCGTTCACGCCTGGCTCATCAGCTGCTCCATGTGACGCACTGACAGTTTTACCTGGTTTGGAGAGCATCCGTGATATCATCGCCAAATTGAAGAGGGTTTTGAGGGGGTCAAACGGCGTCCTGTCCACTGGCTGGATTTGGTGGCGGGTGTGTAGTGGCATTGAAATCACAGGTGACGATTTGAATTATTTTCCAAGTGTCCTGGCCCCCACTGTTGAGTTGCCCCATGTTGGTTTGCCCCTACCAATATTTTGGGCTGGGATATTACAAAAAATGTATTAAAAAGTTGACCATCACACAACGACGATCTTCTTTGATCCTTGCTCGCAGTGCTGTCGCCATGAATGTGCAGCTGAGTAACTTGAAGCCACAACCTACACATTATGTTCTCAACTGAGGGGTAACTTTATGCGATGTGGTAAGCCATTTTCTAATTCGACTTTTTGGCCGTCAAATGCAAGCACCTTATCATTTTGTAATCCCTTTGTAAGCACTTCCCCCGCTACTAAATAGGATATTGGCGCCACCAATTCTTGGTTGGAAGATCTTGTAAGACAACAAGATTGAATAGCAATTTTTATATTGGCACGGCATCGATAGTGTGGATTACTGGTCCAGCTTAGTTTAAAAAAATGAGAGACCATGCAAAAAACCGAAAGCTTTCCGGGAGGTATCTTTTTAACCTTATTCCGTGCTGAACATAGTTTATTGCTAGCACTCTTAACCCACCATTCCATCATTGTTATACATCTCGAACAGGTTAATTTTCCCCTGGTAAATTACCCAAACAGCACAAGACCTTTACCGTGCCACACAAGTGCACTACTGTCGGTTGCACTGTAGTAAGGCTGACACTATCTAGCTAACGGCTAAATGATTCTCATTGGCGAGTCATATATGAACGTTTATTCTGGAAAGCGAACCCACCGCTACGCGTTTCGCCACGTTACGAATGTGGTCAGCATAATTTCTGCGCTCTACCGAAATTGTGATTCCACCACGGTGACTGGTGTCTGCGCGGCAAGATCAGTTCTTTTTGCGTGCCTTTACGCATTGCAGCCAACGGGCTGGAAGAAAGGCGCTACGTGCAAGTTGCTTTTGCACTCCTGTTTTGTCAAAATATATCATCCGCGACATAAAAAGCAATCATGCCTAGCTAAACTCGAATAAATACATACCATGTATTGGAACGGTGTTATCGTTTTTGACAGCCTTAGGTTCATCAGTACAATATTATAAGAAAGATTGAGGTTCGTTTGGAATCGTGCGGCCATATATATATATAGCTGCATGTTTTCTATTGTCGGGATTTAACAATTCAAGATAACCTCAGACTTTCGAAACGCAAGCATTTTAGGTGCACTGCTGTGTACAGCATATAAAGATATCCAACGAATAACGCCCAATCTTACGCATTTAATTCAAACTATTTTTATGGATGGTACGTTATCACTTTGTTATGGTCATGAAGAACCAGCCACCATGAAATTAAAGTGGCTTACTTGATATAACATACATGCATTGGATGGAAACTTACGCACACCTCAAGCAGCAAAACGATAATTTAACAATAAGCATGCATGTGGCCATCCTATTTATAGCACGTGGACACATTTTTAAGCCATTGCTTCAACAAACCCATTCCCACTGTTGTGTTTATAGCACATTTCCATGTGTTCAATTAAAGCAGTTTGGTTTTAGCCTCAACCCCTCATTTACTGGTAAATGTGAATTACACATTATAAGTTGTTAAACACGATTGTGTGCTATTGAGAATTGCTGATTGTGGTTATGTTGCTGATTACAGCTGTCCATGTTATCACAAAGTTGCTACGAAAAGTGTGGTACGAGGCCCAATTTAAAAGAAAAGTTTCCCCACCGCTCGTGATTCATGCAGAAATAGTACCTTAAATAGAGCAGCATTTCGCATAAGGGGTTCTGCGACTTAGATCCATGGACATAAGTAAAATTGAACTAATTATGTGATCTGGCCAAATAGCTTTGACCCAAACTTCTTAACAGGATCCATTAATGTAGCCGGATGCTTACCGCTCCATAGAAACGAAATATATGCTTGCCATATAGAACAGTGCGCATACCAACACTACAATACTGCCTAACCTCTAAAGATAAAGTCGTGTTTGCTCTCGCCGCCAGATGGCATGTAAAACCCAAGCGGACAGACGATGCAATACACTTGACACAGCTACCTAGGACCATAAGACCCAAGGGTTTGAGAGCATAGACTGAAAAGCTCCGGAGGACGAGGATGACAGAAGTTCTTAATGGCCATTCCTGTCTCCGTCCCCACAACCAAAAATACGTGTTGCCGCCCGTGGCCGCCATAAAAGTGTGCCTTCGGCGCCCTTAGACGACATTTAGAGAGCCGGCTCTACAGTTAGATCAGAAGAGGCACATATCTACAGCACGCTGCATCCGAACCACCTGGATCCGTTCCGACATGACTGCCGTGAAGCTTAAATTAAAGCCAATCTTTTAAATGATAAACAAATTTGCAACATAAATTACCTTTCGCCAAACAATGTGGGCTAAATCCGTTGAGAACAAAAATGGGGGAGGGGATTTAGGTCGTCGGGCAAAAAATACAAAAGGTAATTAAAAATTAATGACATGAAAATATTAATATCAAATTTACAACAATAGCAACCCCTTATCGTTATGATGCGCACGCCGAACTTTCCGGCCTTTTCCAGTGCGGGTACAGAGAGGTGGATTTCATGATTGCTCATGCTGACAATACGTGTGCTCTCCACTGACGTCCCAGTGTGTTTTAGAGTGTCCTCGGTTACCTCAAAAAATTTGTCATGCCTCTGTGACTGGGGTGGAGGTGGGTGGGAGAAGGAGGGAGGGGCAGAACCCCGAGCGAAACACATCAACACACATGGTCATTGATCAGAGGCATACGCAAGAGTGAAACACTAGAGGGGGAACTGAGCTACACTGTGTTCTGACTCTCCCGCCGCCGTCAGATTAGATAAATACGTCGTTGCCAGCAAAAACCATGAAATTTATAACGTGAGAAAGTACATTAGGCGGAGAGCTATATCCCACTCCATGTTCCAATACAACCTGGGATGAAGAAGACGATGTAAGCTTGCTCCAATCGACTCACAGTCAGGATGTAAGAGCAAGCTGCTCACTACATCTCGCCTATTCACCGAACCATTGGTGTTACCGGAGTATATCGACCTTCGCAGCGGACTGTTCTTGAATGCATCGCTATTAACGGAAAATATATAATTTGGAAGCATTTTGAAGAGGAAAAGATGCAGTCCTGATTCTCCGCGCGACTTCTTCTGGTTCTCGCCTACCTAGTACCTGTTTTCTTGTGGCTTAGATATCAAAATGCCATGTTGTCTTCAAATTTATACCATGCATGCATTTTAGTGGGCGGCAGAGATTTAGGGGGTAAGGGAACATACATTAAGTGTGGCGGTCTACCACACAGCGATCTGTTGGCGCTGCTCTTGCCTCCAAGTACAGTATCCGTTGCTAGCCGCTAGATGGCAGGTGTGTTATACGTAATGAATGGAAATGAGACATTTCGTGGAGCGGCCAGCGGCTTTCACACATCTATGATCATTCCTTTAAGATGATAGCATCGTCATTAGATAAAGAGTTCTGAAACGCGCATGAAATTATTTTAGCGCTGAAAGGCCACCAATTATACCCTCTTTTAACCGCCGCCAGGCGGCTATGACGTGTGTTCCTAAAGATGTAAGGCATAGTGTTCTTATAACAAACGAGTGCTGGGTGCGTTCAGTTCGCTACCTATTCGTAAAGTCACCCTGTTCTAAACTTCATTTTAAATGGCTGCATTAGGAGTACATTCTATGACTAACAGCATAAGAAAACGGATGACAAACCCAGAGAAAACGTGCCCAATGCCCGGATGCAGCGATTCTCAAAAGATGATGTGTGTGCCCTTATGTTCCTTCCAGCTTACAACCAAAACGATGTCACAAAGAGCCGTACGTTTTACAATGGGTGCACATGTATTTCACGCATTCGCGGGACATTTTAAAAAAACAAGAAGGATGTTTCTAAAAAATGCTGCGATAAAAAGAATGGAATGATTGCTAGGAATATCGTCCTTGTCTGATGTGCTCGTGTGTCCAAGACGTTTGTCACGCGTTGACGGCCAGCTCCTCAGCAAATCAGCGTTGTAATTTTTCATGCAGATTTCAAAGTGTACCGTTGCCCAGGATAAGATCGCGACAGATTACGGCACGGTTTCATATGACCTCCAGTTACTCTTGCAAGGCCGTGGCGGCATGTTTTGATTTGAACCACGTTTGCTCTTCGGACATATGAGAGGCTCCGTAGCTTCTAAAATGGCTCGACCAAAAACTGTAAAAGATATACAGAAGTTCTGCCTCGCTGCAAAATCAGAGCTCCCGCACATCAATAGGGAAATCAACATGAGTCATGCCATTTCGCTAACCTTCCGTTGTCGAATGTTGCAATTCGGCGATGTGCTAAGCACATGAAATGCTATGCAATGGGTTGAAAATGCGTTTTTCAAGATACACAATGCATTCTGTAAGATACAACTTGTCAGCTAGTGTTAGAGATTCCTTTTCCGCGGGCAAAAACGTTTGTTTTAGAATGCTTGTTTTATCTCGAATTCGTAAGCCGAGTTCCGTTCACCCATTTGCTGCCCTATAAGAGATTCGAAATGACGTATTTTTTAAGGTTCACGAAACAAATATTACGGTAAACCGTCCAAGCCCTGAAAGCAAATTGGCAGCACGTTTTACGAAGGAGACAAACGTTAAATGTAAAACAAAGAAGTCACATCTGTTGCCGCTGTTTCTGGCATTTCGCATGCTTAGGGCTCATAATTGAGAGCCACATCACGTCCAGCGAAGAAATGATTCAAAAGAGCTTCAGGAGTAAAGGTAAGCTTTCGATAACTGCTCGTACATCAGTGACCATGCTTTGTGTGTTTTGGGGCTTTATGACGCACCCCGTTGCTGAGGCTATATGGCGTCACCTGCGTCTTACCCTGACGGGAAGAGCGGGTACCGCGAGAAATCGAACCCCGTACCCCACGTTACCCAGGAGCACAGTTTAACCACTACTCTATCGGTCTACCCCCCCCCCCCCCCCCCCGCCCCCGCCTCAACCAGGCTACAGAGGCTCCGACAGAAGCGTCCGAAGCGTCCCGCAACGGAGAGAACGTAAAGGCGATCCCTGGACTGTGCTAGTGCAGGAGCTAAGGCAGGTGCTGCGTTTATCCTGTCAGGAACCGCGCATGCCCTGCGCACCCGGAACATCCTATCAGGAAGTGTGCATGCCGTGCACGCCCGTAGCATAGTAGCATCGAATGCCGCACGCTCCGGTTGCGGGCATACCTTGAGCGTGTTGAGCGCCTCACGGTGGGTGGTGCCCTTCATGGAGCGGCCGTTGATGGAGATGACGCGGTCCCCCTTCTTGATCCGACCGTCTCGGTCAGCCACGGAGCCCGTGATCACCTTGTTGACCTGAAACACAGGCGCCGCTCAGTGGATCGCAGGTTCTGTGTAGCCCACTGACCACCCGAGTGAGCTGGGACCAGAGGCGTGGCCAAGAGGGGGGGGGGGGGGGGACGTTGGCGTTTCATGCCCAGCACAACACCCCCCCCCCCCCCCCTGCCCTTTCAGGGGAGTGACTAGTTATCCCACCCCGCCAATATTGAATAAAATTCCACTTTATCGAATATATCCCCATGTGTTCGACCAGTGGATATGTGGTGCCACGGGAAAAAACTACGGTGATCAGTTATGTGGCAATTGTTAGCAGCGTACCTTGTAAGCAGTGTTATTTTCTAGCAGTGTCAGTAAGTAATTCATCTCCGTTTTCTTTTCATACCCACAGCCTATAAAAGAAGTGTACACCAACCAAATGTGACGAGCCCGGCACCAGATTTGATCGGAAGTATCTCAGACGACCAGAGCTAGTCGTCGGAGCGACATGAGCTGGACTGCACCACGGCGGTCGGGGGGGGGGGGGGGGGGAGAGGGGGGAAGGGGAGAGGGGGGTCTCCCCTATGTCAGCGCAGCAGATGTGCGCCAATAAGAGCACGTCACTGTGATAGCCGAGCCCGGTGAAAAACGCATCGCACACTTCACCCTGCAGTCTAGGTAGGCCAGAAACCAGTTCAGTGAACTCCAGGCTATACACTGTGAGTATAACGGAGACTGTTCTTGGGTGTGACAGCACCGCGATAAACATAGGAAGCTCTGGCGGCATCTACCAGATATTTCAGCCGGTCTATAAGAGACCTGTTCACTGGTTCATTAACCAGCTGCATGCAAATGAGCTTGATCTGCGGCAAATTTTCCAGAAGCTCGCTGGTCCGACAACCGGATCAAAGTCATTTGTATGGCCGCGCGGCAAAGTAGCTGCAGGAGCAGTGCACTAGCTGCCTATCGTCCAGTTCAGTCGATCAGTACCAACGTCGCCGAGACGATGGCAGCTGCGCCTGCTGACGCCGGCTACGATCAGCAGCTTCTCTATGATCTGGCTGCCAGCGTCCAAAGCAGGACGGTTGCTTTCGACGCGGCGAGCCGCATGTTCCTATGTTATACCAATGCTGTGGCTCACGCTCGGTGCCCGTTTACTGCGGACATACAAGTCAATGAAAATTACAAACACTCAGGTTCAGGATATGGCGAAGTATCTGGTCAACCACTACATACCACTGTCGTAAATCCTCATGATGACGACGACGCATTCTCCGAATCTTCTCAGTTCCCTCCCAGACCACATGCAGGAGATAACACAGCCCGTCGTGGAGAGGAATGCATCCTGGTTTCATACCGAGGCTGAGCTTTTGGCGACGATGCGCGACGACGATGCAGAGACCAGCACCCAGGCAGTAAAGCGTATCGAATAATGTCGCCTTGAGCCTCAGAAAGACGTTTGTTCCTTTACTCTGCCAACTGTGAACTTAAAATCTCGCGACCATAGGTTTGTATTTTAGACTATATTTTAGAATATGGGCCATTAGTTTGTAGTTTTCAGGCCAGCTAATCAAATGGGACGCAGAGCTGGGGATAGAGCCACTACTGACAAACATCTGAGTGAACAGGAGCTCAGAGGCATTAACTAACCCTCCATTGAGGTGAAATGATTCCCCGTCCATGCCCAGGTCGCGGAGAGAGCGGTGCTAGAGCTGAGCGGTGACAGAGGCGTCAGGTCCCGTGATCGGCGGAGCGGAACGACATGGATTACATGCGCAGGTCTGATGCACGGTACCTTGATGCCAGCGTAGTAATGACAGCCGGCTTTCGCCTTTTAGGTTGATTAATAGTGCAGAGGAAAGCACATGCTCACGGGATGAGCGGCCCAATTCAAGAGCGTATTCGCTCTTTTCCAACATAACGTTTCTGTCGTAGCGGTTCCGATGCACCGGCCTTACGTTTGAGGTATTGGGGCTAATCATCTTAACGCTTCATGAACTTGCGATCGCTCGTGATGCTTGACATGATTGTGGAGATGTTGAGAGTGACGTTACTAAATGATTTAATCAAGTGAAGTGATAAAATGTGCATCAGGTTCAATGTTTGAGGCTGTGGTATGTTTCTATGTACTGCTCCGTGTCTGCTGAAATACTGTACACTGCATTTTCGTTGACGTATTTTCTCAATCTCTGTCTGTTTTTAAGAAACAAGTTTGCCACTAATGAATCTGTCTTGTCAAACTGATCTAATAAAATCACAAAATACCTCATTTAACTGAAAATTAGGTAAGTTCTTATTTTTACCACCAGACGTCAACAATGACTATAGCGTGATATAATGTATTGGCAGGTTCTAGCTCGGGCTGACCGAATTTTGAATATTGCGAAGAAACATTATTAGCAGTTTAATAACATGTCACTCAATAGCACGTTATTTCACACCAAGATTATCGCCGCCTCACCATGTTCTGCAACTGACATAGCACCCTAATGAGCCTGTCTCGTTCAGCAGCAGCAATTTAGTGACAAGGTCAGCGGATAATAGAGCAGATATGTGCGATACGCAGCTGATCAGCTGTTTTCGGCGCCAGGCAACACACACACATTGATAGACCACTGGAACGTTTGGAACTGCATGTATCTGTTACCGTTTGTGGCCTTAGCAATCTGTTTGGTGTGGAAACTGCAGAAAGGCCCGAGACTCGAGCTCCAAAAACAAAGCTCAAGCGCCCCCCCCCCCCCCGTCGTCAGTCCTGCTGAAGCCCCATACCCTGCCACCCCAACCCCAACCCTCGTAGTAAACCCTAGCAACGGCCCGAGCTGGGGCTAGATTTCACTTTGGTATCGTTCATCAAAACAGACTGGATGGCCCGTGATGTGGAGTCAGCGCAGAGGTCCGATTCTAATGTCAAAAAGGCGAAAAGCTCATCGATTGGCTTCAGTTTCCCGGACGGCGTCATCCTCTGCCCACCGCCCGCCACGGAGAAATGGCGGAAACGTGATTTCCTCTCAGCTGCGTCGACACCCTGGACAAGTGTGATCTACACTGCTCATAAAAATGGCAGGAAGGTAAACCATGAGTCACATCTCTACACTCGCTGAGTGAAATGACCTAGGTGTGAAAGCTGGCCAGGTGTATGGCAATGGACTGGGGAAAATGCTGAAAAACGCCGGTTCAAAGACGTGGGTGGAGCCCTTGAGTGCCAGGTAACCACTCAGTTCAGATCCCATGTCCCGAAGGCTGATCTACAAAGATACGCCGATCTCGAGTGTCACGTGAGCCACTGGGCGCAGTGTACTTGTTCAGTTTGAAGATGGAGGGTACAATAATTTTTCGGTGCGCCTACGGTGGGGCACCAATATATCGTCAAATACAGCTAGATAGTTCGTGCATTTTTGAGAATTCCGACTCTTCGACCGCCGGAATGCCCCCGCCCCTGCATCATCAAACGCAACGATGCAAAGCAAACCACATATTTGGGAAAACAGCCTTGTGACACTATGCACGAGGCAGCATGCTACACTCGCAACACATTCCACATCATCACATCAAGCACGTCATTTCCACAGGGAAAACATTCTAAGTGGAAGCAACGGATCTGTTACGGGGAGTGGGAACCATTTGAGCACGGTTTAAGCAAATAAACCACCAGAAACTACCGCAAGAACGGCTTTTGATTCAGTGCAATGTCTTTCATTGGAAAACTTAACATGCATTTGTTGACGCAAGTATCAGCGCAAATATTTTTTGAAGTTCACGGCGACCCCATAACTGTATGCATGAGAATGAATAAATAACTATATACATGAGAATGAATAAACAACTAAAACCGATACCATTAAAAAATCTTAAATTATGCCCAGCTATACGAAACATCAACACCCAAGAACAAGCAATTGGGGGGCTACGTATGAAGCGGCCCTACAGCCCCACTTTAGGCAAACATAAGTGCAGACCTAATTTCGGTGCACTGCAAAGCAGTTGTCCAAAAGAAGGCCCGATTCTTGCCTTTGGAAATCCTTGCAACTCTGGAGACTGGTTGCCAGCATGGCTTTGGAAAGCGCATCCCCCTGTAAGTACCGCTGACATCACCAAATACGACGGGCGACGCCACGACGTCACGTGCTGACCGGCCACTCACCGAGATCTCCTTGTTCTCGTAGTCGGCGCCGCCGGCCAGCGTGATGCCGATGCTGCCACCCAGCATTTCGCGGTGCACCACCGCCACGATGATCTCGTGGGAGGGTGTGCCGGCCTCCTCCAGGCTCTGGTTAGCCTCCTCAATCAGCTGCTGCAGCTCCTGTCGGTACGGCACGGGGACGAGTCGTCAGTCCAGCCTAGGCGAGCAGACGGCCGGTGTGTGAGGCGGACAGAATGTGGGACTGAGGCCGGCCGGACTGACACCAGGGTAATGTGGTGCTGAGGCTGGCCGGGCCGACACCAGGGTAATGTGGTGCTGAGGCTGGCCGGGCTGACACTAGGGTAATGTGGTGCTGAGGCTGGCCGGGCTGACACCAGGGTAATGTGGTGCTGAGGCTGGCCGGGCCGACACCAGGGTAATGTGGTGCTGAGGCTGGCCGGGCTGACACCAGGGTAATGTGGTGCTGAGGCTGGCCGGGCTGACACCAGGGTAATATGGTGCTGGGGCTGGCCGGACTGACATCAGGGTAATGCGGTGCTGAGACTGGCCGGGCTGACACCAGGGTAATGTGGTGCTGAGACTGACCGGGCTGACACCAGGGTAATGTGGTGCTGAGGCTGACCGGGCTGACACCAGGGTAATATGGTGCTGAGGCTGGCCGGGCTGACACCAGGGTAATGTGGGATAGAGGCTGGCCAAGCTGACTTTTTGCCTATCACATGTCTCTTTCTTCGCCGTCATCAAACTGCGCACGGTCTGTGTCAGCCATGGGTGCTTCTTATACCCATTTTCTCGCATTTTCCTAAAGTGAATAAACCTTTCTGTCATTCTTCTAACCTATCCTTGAACACCTTCCACATCTGATGTGCAGTGAGACCAATTAGAATATCCTCCCACTGGATGCTAGCAAAAAAGGCTAGAAGTTCTTCAAATCTCCTCCTAGCAAAACTTGGAGTAAGAGTATGCTAATCTTTACCTGAATAACCTAGACGCAATGCAAACCTTGCAATATTATGGTCACTATTTTCCAGTAGTTTCACCTACTGTCAAAGCATCTACGAACCTCTCCTCTTTAGTCGTAACAAGACCAAAACCTCATCTCCCCTTGTGGGTTCGCACACCACCTGCCGAAAAGTTTCTTCAAAACAAGCAAATATATTTTGTGACCATTTGATAATTGCCCAAAAACTCCGCCCCAGCCTGGGATGTTGAAATCTCCCGGTACCACACATTTTCCATTATTCGTACCTCGGTCAATTTCTTCACCTATTTCTATCTTCAAATCTTGAAAACTATTCGGAGCTTATAGCAGGTTCCAGTTTGTAATCTGTTGCCCTTCGGCATAACCAAATATATTCAGAGGCATTCTACACCATCGCCATTCTTCATGGGATCCAAAATTTAGTAGCAGCTACCAGGTCTAATCATTCTTCAAGCATATAAGCATGGAGCTAGCCCAACTCGTTTCTGATGCTTCTTGCATTAGCATAGAAGCACTTCAGTTTTCCTACATTTATTTTTGGCTCACTGTTAAACAATTTTGAATTTTTGTTACGCTGGCGTTCTACGTTCACCCTCCCATCCCCAGAAGCTAGTTTACCTGAATGATACGTTGTGCGCCCTGCTCAGGACGTGTACGCCCTTCCCAGAAAGATGGAGTCCATCCTTCTGGTACAGATCTCTACAACTGAAAAACCTGTCCCACTCGTCTACAAACGTGAGGCGTAGCTTGCCGCAAAGTTTCCTTTTCTAGCGTTAGGCGCCAGCGCCCTGAATGTTAGGCTGGATCATGCTGTATATTGACTTTTTATACTTAGTTGGGCTGTAATTATTCGTCAGGACACAGTTTTATCCTCCTATCGTTTTCCAGTACCTTTCCGAGTTATTATCACCAGGCTTTAGTCAGCTCTATGAGTTATGAGCTGAGTTATATGGCGTTCACGAAACTTGTCATGTTCGCTACATTAAGTCCTCACCACATTCATGCATTTGCGTTACTTTTTCCAGGTCTGTGTGTGGGTAAAGCTCTATCATGTCGACACAGAATATCTAAACATCATTCTGAAACAGAAAGTGGCCACACACCTTCGCTTTTCCATACGACGTTGCAAACTCTCCGCCGGACTCTGCCGATATGGACAAAACACAAGCTGCATGGCCTCAGGAGCTCATTACCCATTCGATTGAACGCCCGCGGTACACCGCAGCTGGCGCCGGACGCTGCGCCCATCGGCTGCTGAATAATGCGACATGACGGCACGAGTGCGTCCCTCCAGGCCCGGCGGCCAGCCGCCCGGTCAGCGCCGCGTCCAGCGGCTGCACTACATCACGTCCAGCGGCGACGCCGCGCACGGCCGCGCTCTGCGGCCAGCCCGGCCTCTACACGGTCGCGCCGCCGTCCTGCGGTAAGTCACATTGACAGCGCTGAGCACCGTATCTATCTCGCGGCCCCCTGGGCCGACCGGTGCGATCCAGGCCGACAAGGGATGTCGGTCACGGGACGAGCCTCAGCAGCTAATGAGTGTCTACCCGCGGTGCTGGTGGTCTGGTGCTTGCAGCCGCTGGTGCTCCGCGACCCAGCTTGCAGCGCCCCAGTCCGTGGCCCAGAGGCCCTGAGGCTGGTCGTCAGCAAGTCCCGGTCCTGGTTTGGCCCTCGCCTGGCCGCATGCGCTGGGGGCGGCTCGTGGGGGTAGAGTAATGCTTGCCGGGATCCCGTCGGTGTATCCGCTACAGTCGCTGGCGTGCCGTGTAGTGGTATATGCACGGCTGTAGCTTCAGGGACGTGTGATACCAAACTCAAGACCACGACGTGGCTGCCTTTTGCAACGGAGTCGGATCACTAGGCCGCAGAGTCACACACACCATCTGCCTTGGTGGCGGAGGCTTCTGTCGCGGCATTTGGGGAGACATTTCTAACACGAGTTGGTGCAAGAGAAGCACGGCTGCAGCTGGTCTTCGGAGCCTCTTCAGCCCAGCACCAGTCGCGCTGGCTGCAGCTGTTGCCCGGCAGCCACCCCGTGACCCTTACGGACCTCTTCCGAAGCAAACTCGCATCCGGCGCATCCGGAAAAGCACGCTTGCATCCGGCTGGCGTTGTACAGTGCACCCAGACGCCCAACGTCCCCCGCCCCGGGCCTTGTCGTCAATTGAGGCCAAACGCATAGACTCGCTGGGGCGTCGTCTCTAGCGAGCGGTGTGCTCGCCGGCTGATCACCTTCTGCGGCTGATAGGGGCATACCCGCAAGACCTGCACTGGGCAGGTGGCATCGCTGTCCGCTGGTCACCGCCCGCCGGAATAGCAGCGGGCCGGCACCCGTTCATCTGTTTGCAGACCAGAGACACCTATTGTACCATCATCAAAACGTGACGTCCTTCTGTCAGTACAGCTTGCCTGTCAATGGCCAGAGTCAGTCGCCCTGCCGCCAGAAATACCATGGCGGTGACATGACGCAGCTGCCCCCGGGTCTCGTCGGCCTCTTCAGCAGGGCCATAGCCATTCTTGTCAACACGAATCGTGGGATTATTTATCGGCACATGCGCACACCATCATGCCTGGTGTCGTCACTCCATGCTGGAGACGTGAAACTGGCGGAACGTTCCCACGCTGAGAACTGGGCTCCAAATCGACCGATCTAAAGGCACTCAGCCCAACCGCTCGGCCGGTTAGGCGCCCCCGGCCATCGGTAGCGGCTCGTCCGGACGATCGTGTCTCTTCGGCACCATCGAGCGCGCTCATCGACAGTCGCTGCTCGCCGTGCCCACCAAGAAGGTGTTTGTTTAGATATGTGCTTATTATTGTCATGCCATCACATACAGACTGCACTTTTAGCAGGCGAGCGCCTCATCATGCCCTGCCACCTAGAAATAGGAAAGTGGATGCCAACACGACATTTATTACGTCGTGTAGCGTTGCTAGTCTGAAATTACGTCCGATTTATCATTGCCATGGCCGGTAGCGTACGTGCTTCCATATTGCATCACGGTATCCTTATTTGCCCATTTATAGCTGTTCAGCAGGAGGATTTTTGTCGCTTTCAACTTAACGCCATTGCCAACCTACTTATCTAGAAGCCGGCCGACAGAGAAGGTTGTGTGGCCAGTGAGCTTTGTATGCGTATTCCGCCAGAGTCATATTGTACATCCTACATGTCCATCCTTCCTGGCGGTGTGATTTTCTCACCACGAGATCCTGATCAGACAACTGACATCAATTACACGCAATGAGCTTTGCAGACAGACATAGCTCGAGCGAAGTACCAGACACCACCCGCCCTTTAGCTCTCGTTTACCGGCCTGCCCTGGTTTATTTGTGCAACAGACGACTGGCAGCATTCGTGATCATGATGATCACAGGACCCGTGCAACGAGCCTAACTGACTGGCTTTCTTGTCTGGTCATTTGGCCTTGTCTAAACATTTCCCATGTCGTGTGCTGTCGCCATAACTCGCTTGCCTGCCGTGACCACTCTGATGACGACTGACCGACGACTTTCAGCGCGATGTCGGCGCAACAGGACATCAGCAGCACGTGTCCATCGTTGCCAAGCCGATTCCGATCTTCGGATCACGAACGTGCGGATGAATGACGGACTGTGGCGGCTGGACGGGCGAACGGATTAAGCCTCCGTTTTTTTTTTTGCGAAGCACATACCGAAGAAATTTCACTTCTTCTTGCAAAAGGAATTCGTGTGGCGAATTGGCATTCAGATTTATGGCCATCTGTTGACTCCTTAGGTGTTCGCGAGGAAAGCGTCTATATGGCCAATGCTGTAAAAAGCTCACACTGAATTCGTAAGAAGGGGCCGCCGAAGACCGGTTTCTTTGCCAGTTCCTCATGCTAAACAAATCCAGCCTCGCTAGACAGAAATGTCGATGTCGGAAGCATGTCAAAAGCGCGGGGTTTGTCAGGACTGAACCCCCGGCTTGAACTCATGTACAGTTGTAAAGCGATTTATGCAAGCTTGCATCTCCCACTCCGGTCAACATTTTAATGCATGGGGTTGATGTAGCAAAGCTCAGGTAAACGCTTCTTTACAGAGCTCAGCCCCCCCCCCCTCTCCCCCCCCCCCCCCTGTAGGGAACCAGCTGCTGAGCTCGACCTACACAGGGGATGCACCGGTGAGCGCCCAGAAGGGCAGCTTGATGTTGCCACATGCCTCGTATGGTACCATTCAAGTTAGTTCTTCAAGAGCAAGTTTTTTTGTACCTTTCAGCAACGACCCGCCTTTCATGCCCTCTGGGAAAAACTTGTCACACACACGGACAGCACCCAGTTTTTAAACATGGTTACGACAAAACTATTTAGAGGGCATCAATCGGAACTTCGCGGCATGCTCAGTTTTTCCGAATCAAGCCAATGAAATCGTAAAAGACTAGCCTCAACAAAACAAAGCTGTCTGGAGCTCCGGAGAATGTTTGGCTTTTTGAGCTGAACAACATTGCGTCGACAACACTTCATGGGAAGGTGAGGGAATGGACCATGGCCGGACATTATCATGTGCATGGGAGGCGAAGGGCCATAGCTGGACATTATCACGCGCAGATGAGGGGATGGGCCATGACTGGACATTATCATGTGCAGGTGAGGCGATGGGCCATAGCTGGACATTATCATGTGTAGGTGAGGTGATTGATGCACTATGGCTGGAAATTATTATGTGTAGGTGAGGCAATCAACCACGACCAAACATTATCACGTGTAGGTGAGGCAATGGACCATGGCCGGGCATTGTCATGTTTAGGTGAGGCAATGGACCATGGCCGGGCATTGTCATGTTTAGGTGAGGCAATGGAGCATGGCCGGGCATCGCCATATGTAGGTGAGGCAATGGACCATGGCTAGGTAAAATTATATTGAGGTGAAATAATGAACCGTGGCTGGGCATCATCACTCCCCTGGGACACGCCACTTACCAGCTGACAATTGAACTGGCGGAATGAACGGCAGTAAAGTAAATCGCTGTCTGTGTTCTAGATATGCTTCAACACTCACGTAGCTGATGTTAGAGACAGCTGCAAAGCGCAAGAGCAGGTCATATTACACATAAAATAGCAGGAACAGTTTCCTTTTCCCCTCCCACCCCCAAACAGGCACCGTGCTATCCGAGATGAACTGTCAGTGGGCACGTGACGTCAACAGCTCATGACAGGGCATCTCAGATGACCGTCTTCGCTCCAGACACGCCTCCCGGCTCCGGTACTCACGTGCGGCGAGATGAGGCTGGTGGAGGAGGCCAGCGAGGTGATGCTGCCGTAGTGGTCCTTGGTGGAGGTCAGTGACACCATGGAGCCGGCTGCCGTCGGGCCGGCCGGACTTTCGCTGCCGTTCGAGTCTAGTGGCGTCATGTGGCTGTGGCAGGCGCGGCCGTCCGAGCGCTCGAAGGCCCTCCGAAGGTCACTCACACTCAGCACGTGCCGCGAGCGCGCTGTCCGCTTCAGGTTGGCCGTCAGCATCTCCAGCAGGCTACTGGTGGAGCCGCTCGGCGACTTGGTGCTGTCCAGAGCGTCCATGATGTTCTCCTGGCTCGAGGACGTGCTGACGGCGCTGCCGACCAGCATGCTGCCCATTTCGAACAGCTTCAGCTCGCGCTCGCTCTCGACCCAGCTCTGGGGCCGTGAGGACGGACGGCCGCGCCTCTCGCGCAACTGGGCCGCCGCCTCGCCGTAGCTGGGCGTGCTCAGCTTCCGGTCGATGTCGGCGCGCTCGCTCTCGATGCTCGGCCAGTTGCGGTCGACTACGTCTCGCACGCTGGTGGGCGCGTCCTTGGCGGGCGGCGCGGCCGGCGGGTCGGGCGAGCCGCCCGGCTCGCGAGGCGTCAGCTCGGACCGCTCAGAGCGCACACTCGACGAACGGCTGACCGGGCTCGGCGCGTCGCCACCGTCGCTCAGCATCTGCCAGCGCTCCTTCAGCGACTTCACGCTGGGCTTGGTGGACTGACGGAGTTTGGAGAGGTCGCGCAGCTCTTCCGCTGCGCCCGGGCTCTGGCCGCCGGAGTCCGTCGGTGAGGCGAACCGCCGCCACGCCCCGTCCTCCTGGATCTTGGGCGGTGAGCCACTGACCCGCTCCAGCCGGTCGTGCACGACGGCCGTCTTCGCGGAGACGGACCTGGTGACGGTCGTCTGAACCAGCACCACTTCCTCCTTCTTCGCCTCAGTCCGTGCGGCGCCGACAAACTCCTCCTCAACGTCGATCTCCTTGACGGGCGAGCCGTGCAGCGTGGACGTGCTGGCGCGGTGGTCGAACTCGACGCTGCCCTCGCGGCTGCGCGGCTCCGACGCCGCCTCCTCCAGCGGCTCGTCGACCAGCGTCAGCGTCGAGCTCCCCACGTCGGTGTCGGCGTCGGCCAGCGGCAGGCGTGGCGGCAGGCGGCGGCCCTCGGCCGGCGCCACGTCGTCCGACACGCGCCGTCGGCCGTCGGCGGCGCCAGCCGGCGGCCGCGAGTTCAGCGAGCTGCTGCGCTGGAGCGGCTCCCTCGCCGGATGCATGTCGTGCCCCTGCGGCGGCCGCGAAGTGCGCGGGTCGTGTCGGCGGCCGGAGGGGCTGGGGTCGGAGGGCGCGCGCGACAGCTCGATAGACGAGCCGCCCAGGCGGGAGGACGAGGACACGGAGCGGAAAGCCGAGCTCCCCGGCGACGGCGAGCGTGACACCGAGACGTTTTTGCGCTTGAACGCCGGCGAGTAAATGGGCGGTGCTGCCGAGTCGGTCTTCCAGGGCGGCGAAGCGAGGTGGCGGGGCTCGGGACGCTCCGAGGTGGAGCGCCTCGCCCTCGGCGACGCCACGGGACTCTGCAGCCGACACTTGGACTGAGCCAGCACCGGCAGCTCTCGGCTTCTAATGGCCGGCATATCGGCGGGACCCTTCTTTGAGACGCCATCGACTTTGCTAGGAATGACCAGACCACGAAGCTTGGAGACGCTCTTCTTGCGCTCCTCCGTGATAGCATTTAAGGACGTTTTGCGCGGAAGATCCGAGACGGCGCCATGAAAACCGTAACCCTTGTTATGCATGCCGGCGTAGCTGTGCCTTTTCTCGACCCGACCCAGATCGAGCAGGCTCTGAGACCGCTCTGCGAGAGGACTGGGGCCCACATCACCGTCGCCGGAGGACTCGGACCGCCCCGTGGAGGAGTCCCTCGAGTGGGATGTCGGCAAGGGCAGAGAGTGTTGAGAGGAGCAGGATTCCGTGCTGGGGGAGAGGTCCCCACTCTTGCCCCGAACGTGCATGTTACCAAGGCTGCCGAACCTAGCGCCCGATGGGTCAGAGATCTTCTTGCGCTTAGTGACGTCGTCTCGGGACCGGGACCTTTGCGTCTCGTTCCCGGTCAGTTTCAGATCGGACTTGGACCGCTCTTGGGCCCGCACGTGCTCAGATCTGACCCCGGTTATCTGGCTGTCGATGGAGTTCTGCGACATTAGGCGGACCCGGGGAGCCGTCAGCGTCTCCACAGACGGGCTGGAAAACAGCGCTATCCGGTCGCGGACGCTGGTACGACCTTGCGTTCCCCCTACTATGCTAGTCTTTATCTTTCTCAGGTCGCCATCGCTCTGTTCCCTTGCCCTGCTCAGTCTACCACCGCTGTCACGGCTGTCACGGCATCCAGGGCCGGCGACGGAACCGCCCTCCACCTCAGTCACCGACTCCGACCGCTGACACTCCAAGCCACCCGACTCTGCCCGGCCCTCCTCGGGCACGCGCCCCGACTGGTAGTCCCCCGCCGGCTCACTGGGACCGAGCGAGGGACCCTTGGCGGCGTTATCTCTGGCACCGCTCTCAGCCGGTCGCTCGCACGGATCGGCCAGCTCGCACAGCCGGAAGTCAGGCGGGAACTCATGCCCGTCGGGCGGCAGCCGGGTGGCCGTGGGCGGCGGTGAAGCGGCCGCTCGGCCCGAGCGGCTGCGGCCGGCGGCGGCGGCGAGACCGAGACCGCTGCTCACCGCGTCCTGGCGCGGCCGCGACACGGCAGCCATCGCCGCGCACACCTGCCGACAGCAGACAGTCGTCAGTGCGACCGAACTCCCGGCATGGCGGGGCACGGTGACGGACGGCGAACCGGTGACGTAGGCATTGTCAGTCTGGAGAAGACAGACGGGGTGACCACAACGCAGCGGTAGACCATTGTCTTGTCCTCAGGCTTCCGTGACGGCTGCATCACACATTCAGTAAAAGTCCACAGTAACCGATTTTGATTCATTTCCTTGTCTCATTTTAGAGAAAAGCGGACCATCTTGGGTCATATTAACACATAATACCAATCGTCATTAGAATGGCATAACTTGGCACCAGATTTGACATGCACGACTGATAGGTTAAGCAGGAGTAAACTCATGACTCGATGTTTCGGGCTTTCATAATCCATGTAAATTAGTATTCCGGAGGCGTCGTTTCCTGATCATACCCCTACTCGTCACTTCGCTTTGCGATACTTTATTATTTCATCCCACGGGACCACACACGCAATCACCAAAATGACGAATTGATACATGATGACGAAACAAAAACGTTTTCAGAGAAAAGTTGACTGGTTTGTTTGATGGGCATGACGACAAACGATGGGTTTTGCATCTTGTCTTTTCTATTGGCAATGTATTTCGGAGCAAGTTGCATGTGGAATGTGTGGAACGAAATGAGGTGCCGGTTGAATAAATGCTAGCTTGAACCGTGCTTTGGGTCACTTCGGATCTGCGTTGCCCTCGCCGTGTCCGGAACGTTGGACGTTGAGCACGGCGGCTGTCGTCTGTGGTCCGCGTCTGACTGTTCACCGAGCCATCGCTCACCCCCCGACCCCGGGGTGGGCCCGCGAAGGTCACGGGGCCGTCGCGCGGTCTCGGCACCGCCCAGGCGCTCGCCGTCGGCTCGGCATTCATCCCAGCCGCGCGGCACGCTCCCGCCCGCGCTGGCCTCCGCGGCGGCGCCGCCACCTCCCCTCCCTCCTCTCACTCCAGCACACCGGCACACAGCGCCGGTCGGACCAAGGCTTTCCATTCAGCCGGGCGGCGTCCGCGCAGGAAGCTGGCAAAGTGGGGGCTCACAATCCAGCCGTCCAATGCCTGGCGCGCGGCGTGAATGTCGCCGGCTGATGGGCCAAAGTGAAGGCGAGGTTTGCGGAGGAGGTGGGCGCTGACGCGCTGGCGAGAGGCGCATGCCGACGGCGGGGCGTCGGGCGGCCACGGCTTGTCAGTGAGGCAAGAGTGACGACAGGAGCAGCCGCAAATTATCTATCGTAAAACTCAGAAAAGGAAAACGGAGGCTAATGCGGAAGTGGAGACAATAGACCAACATGACACACCTCATACGTCACGCTAGATAAATGCAAAAGACTTTGGCCGGGTGAGACGAAACATAAATCAGACGCTTCGTGGCTGGGAAGAGACAACCGTACACTAGGTAAGGGAGCAGCCACGATGCAGAAGGTTGTTGGATTGATAGTTGTGCTCAACCATGCAAGATAATATGGGTTCCTGTCCGAGTGGGCTGCTGTACTCAGCACTCAAGCAATGCGTGAACATCGATGGTGTGACGTATCAACCAGGCCTAGGCGCTTCATGGATGCATGCATGGGCTTCTAGTACCGATGACCCTGCCCTGGACGCGTGGCGGATGTTGATGTGCGCCCCCCCCCCCCCCCCCACCAGGCGCCACACGCAGGCCTGGAGTCAGGGTGCGTGCTCGGCCCCCCCCCCCCCCCTGCACCTCTGCGTGCATCGGTGCACCGCGACGCCGCAGGAGGTGATGAGCGACGCGGAGGCGTCGGCCCGCCCCAGGCCCGCCTGCCTGCCACCCTGCCGGCGTCCAGCTGACACCCGCTGACACCGTCGCACGCCAGCCGGCCCCGCGGTCAACACGGCGCCTGACGAGCGGCGCAGGCCGGCTGCGACTGACGTCAGCAGTCCCGCTGGCGGGGGTCGGCTCACCGGCGGGGAGGGCCGATCGGCAGGGCAACAGCGCTCCGAGACGCTTGCCGCCTCAGAAAGCGTGGGCAAAGTGACCTGCATGCAGCAGGCTGAGAAGAAGACAGTGCAGGAATGACGGCCTCTGTGGCTCAAGCGGGCGCGGTAGCGCAGTAAGTAAACGGTGGCTGTACGCCCGATTCAGATATGAAGTAGATACGCACACGGGGGCAGATTCAGGGGAATCGATGGAAAGAAAACAATAGCGGCTGCCAAACGCATTTCAAGACCGATCTGTCTGCGAACTATATCAGCCGTCTTTCAAGCCTTAGTCGCTGTCCAAAGCAGTGGACTCCCCCCCCCCCCCCCCCCCCCACCTTTTCCTTCCCGTCCACCACAAGCACACGCACTCTCCGACAGAGCAGATGTCCGGCAGTCATCCGGACCACAGCCGCCAACAGTGCTGCGATGGGCAGCGCGAGCGTGACCGGTTCACCGCCGCAGACCAGCACTTTTCTCATGATCCGATGCAGTTAGCTCATAAGAGAACACGAACCACACATGCTGCAAGACATTAAAACGCAGCTGGCGCGAAAAAACCATCGGTCGTGCACAGGCCGTGTCGAAAAAGGGCATCATTGACGAATAGACCCATGACCAAGCCGCGGGAGAACGCGGACGATCCAGCCGACGGCACTAGTGACGAACAGACCCCTGGCCAGCTGCGAGCGAAAGCAGACGAGCCAGCCGACGGCACCAATGACGAACAGACCCCTGGCCAAGCTGCGGGTGAACGCAGACGACCCAGACTCGCTGGGCGCCGTGTGACGGACGCTTCCCATCTGGCACGGGCAGTGCTCCAGAGTCCGGGGCGGACCACGACTGCGCGCGGTCGCCGGACCGGTGCCGGACCGTAACTCAGGGCGCCGGGCGGCCGGTGTGTCAGCGGGAGCGGGCCGTCAGCAGCCGTCCGGTGACGGCCATAACTCACCGGGACAGCTCGGCACGGGCCGCCACCGCCGGCAATCAGAGCCGCACGCGGGGCGCCACCCACGCGGGGCCGGCGCGCGCAGACGCAGCGCACCGGAGCCCGGCGCGTCTGAGAAGTGACCTGCGATACTTTGGATGTGCTGGCATTGCATACGACATTCGGAACAGGGATCTCTGCTTTTTGATGTGCCCCAAAAATTTTCAGGGAGTCGTAAAATTTCTGAAACGTACCTGACGTATATTGTAAAGGGGGAAACAACGCGAAGGCGAGGTGTCAGGGCCACAAATTCCGCTCTGTGCTCCACGTGAGAAGACCTCAGGCCGTCCGACCTGGAGGCCACCACGAGGGAAGGCACGCGACACCGATCCCAAACCGTCGCTGCGCCGACCCCCAGTCCGATTCGGAGCACGATGTGGCCAGCGTGGCACGTGCTTCGCGCCCAGCGCACGTCCGCCCGCGCACTGTGCCGCCCTTGATGGCCGCCAGGGGCGCCACCGTCGGACGGAAGGCGGGACGTCGATTCGCGGCGCGGCGCCGGCGACTGATCGGTCTTTTACAGCGACGACATGACAGCAGCACATCAGTATGGACGGCCTGCGGGCGGCTTTGTCTGCACGTGGCTGTACGGTGCGCGGCCTCAGTGGACGAGGTAGTGGCACTGGCGCTGGTGCCGCCGCTCGGTAATTGTAAGCCTGAGCGTATCGGCACGCAAGTGCCGTGAGAAGGTGTGCTGGACATTCAGGCACGTACAGATATACCCTGCCCCATCCAAGCCATGCACCTTAGCCTCATAAAAGACGGGGTCAATAGACTGGCACACTCAAGCCCACCATAACTGTCACCGTTGCGCCTTAGTGACAGCGTCCCACGGCAGCGAGAACCAATGGCACGCATGGAACAATGGCGCACTCCAAGGGTGTTCTTCAACGGTAAACTTCAATGGTGAGCCTCAGTAGTGAATATTTGCATTGCAATATATGCATTTTACACAAGTTATGACGAGGGTCAGTTAAAGGGATGACGAATTAAGTTAAATTAACTGTCATGTCTTCCAGTTGTCATGGTTGTCATGGCTGTCCTGGTTGTCATGCTTGTACATAACTTTGCACGATCGATCACGTGACTGTCCGGTAATTCGGCCCGACATGATATCGCCAACATAAAACTGTCTACGGGCATAATGTTATAGTCTCAAAAACTTGTTTCCACTCAGAGAATACGATGCATTATGACGTATAAACCAAATACATCCCCTTCAGCCTTCATCTAACAACGGCAGATGACAATGCCAACTCGCCATAGCCAAGCTACTTTCACTTCAACTGCTTTATCAGAGTCAACTTCCTTTTAGATAGGAGAGAGAAAGAGAGAGAGAGAGAGAGAGAGAGAGAGAGAGAGAGAGAGAGAGAGAGAGAGAGAGAGAGAGAGAGAGAGAGAGAGGAGAGAGAGAGAGAGAGGGGGGGAGGAAGAGACAAGGATGGCAGCTCTCGACAAACATTGTCGAGGGCCGAGACCTTCAACAAAGAGGTCACCGCTGCACCGCACCGGAATGATGGGCAGTCTACTGCATGCTGAGCAGGGCCCATATCTAGATAGTTGGCACGCAAACAGCCACCTCACGCAGTAACACGGTCAGCGTAACACACCCTCACACCAACGCAGACGTTGTCATGCCGCCCCACGCACAAAGGCAGACTGTGCCCTGGCCCCCACACGGTCGCCCTTGACGGGTCCATATATCCACGGTCAGCCCGGGTGACTGCGGTCGGTGCCTCCGACGTTTGAGGCCAAGTAGTCGTTACACAGCGTCGCAACGGAGCCGAATAGAGGTGGCCCAGGCCCTGGGATGGTTCATCTTACAACCCTGCGAAACCACTCATGCCGCCGGTAAGCGCAGCAGCCCTTCAAAGTCGGGATCTCTACTGTATTCTCTGCTATTCCCCTCCCCATCCGACCATGCCCAGCACGATTTCAGACATTCGCACCAGCAGATCCGTACCAGTTTGACGACTTTGAAATACGGCCAAGGATTTTTTGGGTAGGCTTTTTGTTCGCGCAGGCGTTACGACGTAAGCTTGGTGCGGACAGCTCACGGCCGAAC